ACAGTCCGGCCCTATGGACAGCCCCCGGGGGGCTGTAGAACCTGCATGGAGCAGGACCTAAGTTACCGTCAGTAGCCGTTTTCCCGCTTGCTTTTAACTAGAAAATGAATAATCTAGCCAACAAATTGCTTATCGAGAATATTTTGTGCTGGCGGTGTAAACTGCGTTTCCTGATGCTGGTGGCTTCAGTTGAGCGCATTTCTAACTTTTTGGGGATTTTTTAACGGCGTTTTTCGAAATTTGGTGTGTAGCAGTTCTTCACATAGCTGTGTCGGTGGGTTATCTTTTATCTCAACGAGGGCTCAGTATTCTGAGGGCTAAGAAAACAAACGGTATCCAGTTCAGGGTGGGAATAACGCTTTCGTTGGGTCGTGTCGCTTCGGAGTCACCATTCTGGTCTATTAACCCGTGTGATCTTTATCTTGCAAACTTTACTAAGAGGGTTCCTGGGCGTGTATTGGAGCGGCTGTTGAGGGGCATTTTACGCCCTCCTTAGAGCAAACGATCGCCTGCCAGCACATAATTGCGAGTGAAGGTACGTGGTGGTGATACCACACCCACCCATCAGTTTGCAATTGCTGTCTGCTCAGAGCTTCATGATCCCGGATAAAATGTGTGTCGGGCTGACAGGTTTTAAAAACCTAAGCAGCTCTAGATTAAATCCTCGCTTTTTTTTTTTTTTTTTTTTTAAATTTTGTTATTCAGTGCATAAAACGTCCTCAGAACTCAATGGGAGTTCATTTAAACAATTCCTTCTTATTGGTAGTATGGCAGTCCAGAAATTGTTTTTATGCCCAAGTTACATGCACTTTCTCTGCCTGGTGTGAACCCTGGAAAAATAAATGTGAATGGCTTTGCTGTCTGCCTCGGGGAAGGGAGCACGAAGTGTCCCCGTGCAGAGTGTGCCCCTCGGCACAGAATCTTGGCTGCTCAGCTGCTTCTGACAGGCAAGCTCCGGTGATGGTTCTCCTGGGGGTATTCTCTTCCCTGCCTAGTATTTGAAAGTTAGCTTTGAAAGCCTCCCTAGCTAAACCTTATCTGTGTAGGAGTTACACATTGAAAGTCTGTCTTTCCCCCTTTAGATATATTTCTGCAGTAAGCCCCTTGATGCTGGTGGAATTTTACAGGTCAAGGTTACTGACTTGTGAAGTTGAAGTTACAGTGGTGTTTGCAAGTCTGCACCTTCTGTACGGGATGTTTCTTATTGCAAGGGCTAATACTAACTAACAGAATTATGAATCTGTATTAGAAAAAAGTGTGGCTGTTGAACATGAAAATATAGGGAAGGCCTGTCCCAGATACCCTGGAGAATTTCCAGCAAGAAATGCCCATGATCCCAGTCTGTAAACTGGAACAAATTTCTGAGATTCAAGTAAAGATGCAAATCAGTTACCTCACAAGTAGCAGCGTATGTAGCTGTAGCAGTGTCATACATACTTCCCAGAGAGATCTGGCATGGGTGTTAAATTGATCTGCTAGTTTGGATGAAACAGAAGGGACTGTCTGCAAGCAGTGAATATGGTTTATCTGCACGCATGTCCAGACTGTGTAGTGCCTATAGGCTTGGCCAGTGCCAGTTAGGCTTTGGAACTTTGTCAGTATTAGGAAAGAAATTGGAAGCTCCAGCTTCTCCAGACTTGCCCAGCACTCTTCAGTGTGTGTGATGCTGTCTGAGATGCCTGCAGGATGGTACCCTACATTTGCTGTCCTTCTTCTGTAAGGGTTCTCTCTGTACAGTGTACTGTATGCTGAAATTTCCTTGAAGGGCAAGACTTCCAGCAAAGAGCCAGATGGGAGCCTAGCAGGCCTGGATAGAGCAGCAGATTACAGGTGCAAGCCCTCATGAAAAGCTGCTTTATATTGATAAGAGACACAGCAGAACCCTGCAAGCAGACTAACCTCTTAACCCCAGCAGCTGTGTATCAGAAGAGAGGAGGGTAGTGAGTACACTTTCCAGAGTGCTTGTCCCAAGAGCAGCTGTGTTGCGGGAGTTTCGTCAGCTGCAACAAGTGTTAATCTGGCCTCAATGGAGGAAGATGTGTATGTCACCAGCATTTCACAGGTTTGTTCCTTTGTGCTTGTACACAAAATGGGGTTGGTTTTTGCTTTCATACTTCTCTGCCCATTGGCTGGATTGTGTGAAGGGCCTAGAGAGTAAGCCAAGTGAGCAATGGCTGAGAGAGCTGCCTTTGTCTAGCCTGAAGGAAAGGGGGCTCAGGAGGAACTTTCTGCAGCTGCCTGAAAGGAGGTTGTGGGTTGGCCTCTTCTTCCATGCAGCTAGTGCTGACAGGATGAGAGGAAATGGGCTCAAGCTGGGCCAGGGGAGGTTCAGGTTGATGTCAGAAGAACAGAAAGAATTGTCAAGTACTGAAACCAGGAACCATCCGTGGAGGAGTTCAAGAAACAACTGGACCTGGCATTTAGTGCTGTAGTTTAGTTGACGTGGTATTTGGTTGAAAACTGGACTCAGTGGGTCTTGGACGTCTTTTCCAGCCCTAGTGATTCTACGATCAGCACTACTCTACGGTACGAATAGTGAAAAACCATCTTTGAATCTCAGTCGTTCATTGCTGCCAGTATAAATTGTGCTCAAAATCACAGAGCACACCCTATGTCTTCTCTTTTGTTCCTAGGTTGCCCTAAGAAGACAGCAAGCTCAGGAAGAGGAGCTGGGAATCAGCCACCCGGTGCCCCTGCCCAGTGTCCCTGAGACGTTTGTTAAGAAGAACAGTGGTGGCAATTCTTGCCTCTCGCTGGAAAGCAGCAGCCCAATGCACTCGACAAGTACAGCCATGACAGCAGCTAGTACACCACCAGGTAAGGTGCTGGGAGACTGGTGCTCACGTCTTAGGGCCTTGGCCAACACTGCTGGTGCTCACGGTTCACGCCTGTCCCTCTTTGCAGTGACAGGGTTACAGTACAGTACAACACTGTACTTCTGGTACAGCTAGTGGGAGGGAAGGATCCACTATCAGTCTTTAATGTTTTATTTGGTTATTTTTACTTGAAAATCAAAATTTCTTTTACACAGACTGGTGCTGTAATAAAATTCGATAGGGTGTGTGATTGCAAGTAGAGAATTATGGGAAGATCTTCCAGCCTTACAAAACTCTTTGTGGTGGCACATTGGTTCTGTGTGGCATGCTGTGATGAACTATGAAAGAGTGATGTAGTCCTTCTCTTTTACTACAATTTAAATTGTAGTAAAATTGTATTGCATTTAACACTTGTAAAACAAAACCCAAAAAAACCCCAACAATACGAAACAGTATTTGTCTGTATATTCAGTGAAAGCATAGCTGAGCAAAGATGGGACTTGAATATGCTAGGCAAGTGAAGACTCTAGGCAAAATGTTTTCCTATGCAAATTGCTTTTTCCACTTTCTAACTATGCCTGACGGATACAGTGATTGAACATACAGAAGAAAGAAGAATGGAGCTGATGTAATTGACTTCTTGTGTATAGACAGAAAAAAAGCAAACAAATACACATAAAAGGAAAAGCAAGTTTCATTCATTTTTAATAATCTATGCATATGCCAGTAATACAGGTGAATATACTTGCCAGATAGAAAGGTGATTCTAAAGTGGGCGGTGCTTTGCACTAGTTAATAAAAGGACAGTGCATGTGTGAGTCTGTCAAGTGACGCTATTCTGTTTTGCAGGCCATTAAAAGTATGTCAGATGGATTTGTTGGATCTAGTGCAGACAGGCAGTTTCAGACCATTGTAGTGGAATTTTGTTGGGAAGCTTTTAAAAGAACTGCTTAATAAAGCAATAAATAGCTTTTTATTAGCTTTTTTTGTTTTCATTATGTTAGTGTCACCTTTGAATTGATGCAGTTACTCCTTTCATATTTGCATTACTGCATGCTTTGTCTATAGACGTAGAAAAAGCTGGCTAAAGATTAAAGTAGTATATTCAGTGATATATAGAGATTGTGTGTAACTCAGTAGAACAAGAAGATCCTTGCTTGTACAGGAAGGCTGAAGAATGTAATCATTTTATTGTTGACAAAACTGGCTTAAGCTTTGATCTTAATGTTTTTAAAATGTCAGTATTTAGTTTATTAATCCCATTTTAATAATTGCTAGTTAATTTAATTAAATTGTGGTCTTTTAATGGAAAGCGTTGACCAAACAGGCTTAAGGCAATTCACATGCTTGAAAAAGTACTTGAAAACATAAAAATGCCTAATTTTAAAGTATTTTGAATTGTTTTACTGCTCTTAGTTAGAGCAGTCATCTTTCTTACATCTTTCTGAATTTGAGCAATTTAAATACATTGTTTCTCAAGCATTTTACTAAATAACTAACTGTTATTATTTGTGTCCAAATAAATAACTGTTTGTGAGTGACAACATTTGAAATACACAGCCTCATCTCCAGAAAAAAGTCAGGAATCAAGACAGCGTCAACCTTTGGCCCAGTTTAGAAACTTCCAGTATAGATGGGACTACTCTGTGATGCAGAATGCCAGCTCCTGGTCCTATGCTCTGTGTGATCATTTCCCTGTTGTATTTGCAGTGTCAGTAGTGTTCAGGTGCCTCCCTATTATCACTGGTTGACAAACATAATTTTGAACAATTGTGAATAGTAAGCTTGTATTTGTTATTTCCCTTTGTTACATTTATTATGTTTGACAGAAACAAAATAGTATTCTTTTTTTTCTCTAAGTAGCTGCTGTCTTCAATTTGAAACTCTTTGACAAATAGAAGGGGTTTTATCTACTCATAAATACATACCATAGTGGGATCAGCAGTAATAGCATGCCTGATGTTTGGTGGTACTGAGATCCCTTTGAACTTGCAGTGGCCTAGCTGTCTGCAAAAACCCTACCATGCCTTCTTTACTCTTCCTTTCCTTTCTTGCTCACTGTATTGTGATTTCAGAAATTGGTGCCAGATCTTGCAGCTGTTGTGCAAGATGAGTTTAAAAAAAACCTAGTTGTTATAATGGAAAAATATCATAGCCGGGTTTAAAAAAGTGAGAAATTTTCTTTTAGAAAGAAAGCTCTTTTACAGTATTTATAGTATAGTGTTATGTGCTGTAAAAATGTCAGTTTCATTAAAGAAGCCTTATTTTAGTCAACTGATCATGTGGAAGCTTCTTTTCACTGTGAGAGTGCTTGAGGATTGAAACAGGTTATCCAGTGAGGTTCTGGAGTCTCCGTGTTTGGGGAGGCTCAGAGCTTGGCTGGATGGTATATAAGCAACATGATCCAACTAGCAAGCTGGTTCTGGTTTGAATAGTTTGAGCCAGCTGGTCTCCAAAGATCCTTTCCAAACTAGACTGTTCTGTGAAGCTCTGAAATTTCTACTTGCTTGCCCTGACATTAAGTCAGCATACTTAAATTTGAAGTTCAGTCAGCCTCAATACTCACAAGCGCTTGCAAGCCTGTGAAAGAAATCGTAACTCTTTTGACCTAGTAATACTCAATGGTGGATTTTTTTAAACAAAGAGTTAGAATTGTGGGGATTGACAAATGGTGGAGGGGATTGATAGTTCAGGTGGCAGCAGCCTCAACAAGGCTGGCAGTAAGAAGGCAGCATTAGCTGCTTTGCCTGCCTGTGCCAGGACTAACATAGTGGCTGCATGCCCTCAGAGATCTTGGTGGGTCTGCGGTGGTTATCTGTCCATCCTTCTGCTCTTCCCTTTTCCCTTGGTTTCCTCACTACTTTCTGAGGATGATTTTCTCCCGCTACAGCCATGGCTGCTTCTTTACTAGTTTTGGTAAAGCAGCAGGACTGGCTGCCTCCTGGTCCTGCCAACCCCCTTCCATTGCTTCCTGGTGCTTTCCCCTGGCTTCTCCCACAGTCAACAAATCTCTCTTAAAAAGCAAGGAGTACAGTTAAACATGACCTGTCTTTAATGGATTGTAACAGCCAACAAAGAAGTTTTGTGTCCTTCACCTGTGAATAAGTAATCCATCATGATCATCATAATCTGGTTTTCTCCAGTTCATTGTAGTTAAGATGAGAGAAAAAGAATTACATTTGCATGTGTCTCTTGTAAGACTTTGTGAACTTCTTAGCCTTTTTGGATTGACATGATTTCCACAGCACAAGTTAGATGTTGTCTTGGGAAGCAGTTGCTGAAAGTGGTCTGCCTGTATAGTAGTTTGCTTAGTTACTAAATCTCTTTCAAGCTGGACTTTGTAAATATTACAGGAGCTTTGAACAATCTTCCCTTGATTTAGGATGAAATTTATCCCGCATAGGCTTTTTAAATCCTGGACTGATACAAGTATGCATTGAACAATGCCTTCCACAGTGGGGTGGCCATGGCTTTGTAATTTTCAATTCCTATCAAAATAATATGTTTCGCTCAGAGTTATGTAAGAAGGAGTTGGTTGTGAAACAAGAAGGGGTGAGCATTTCAGCTTCTCTCAGCTTTGGGTTCACTGTACTTGGGGAAACGGTAGAGGAGTTCTGAGCATCTCATTATAAAAGGACATAGATAAATCTGAAAGGATGGATGGAGGGAAGGGTGACAAAAATGATGTATTGCTTGTAGAAAAGGAGACTAAGGGTGGATATAAACAGTCAATAAATATTTGAGAGGTAATAATATGGAGGAGGGGGAGGGATTATTTACAGTGCTTGAGACAGCATAACAAGGAGCAACGGCTTGAAACTAAAAAAGGCAAAATTAAATTAGACACTGGACACTTTTTTTCCTAACGAGTAGTGCAATTAGCAACGGAGTGACCTGCATAAGGACAAGGGGGTAAGTGAAGCGTAATCAGGAGAGGTGTTTAAGAGTGTGTTAGATTATGATCTCTGGTGATTAATATGGGGGTAAACTCTGATCAATGCGCAGGTTAAAGTAGATGACGGAAATCTCCTACAGCTTTGTCATCTCTTATATGATTCATTGCCTCTAGCCATTCCTTGACTGTGTTAAATAAATCATAATGTTACAGGGTTCTGCATCCCTGATTAGATGTTTCCAGTCAATTCTCCAGTTCTCTTGCAAAGCTTGCAGTTTTCCTGCTCCTCTTTTCAAGCAGTATTCGTTACTGCAGCTTTGCATGCGCGCATGCGTGGAGGTGCCTCTGTTTTAACTGAGCTAAGTTTGAAGTGCTGTACATATCCATTCAGTGAGGCACTGACTCTTGTCAAAAGGCTGGTATTTCTGTTGTATCGGTGGAACAAGGTAGAACTAGCAGCAGTTCTCAAAGTGTCTGAATTAAGAAGTTTTTATTTTCCTTTCAGACTTTCAGTCCTGTGTGATGCTTCACTGGAAGTGTAAAAACAAATAGAATTATAAACATATTTGGAAAATCCTCACAGAAGATTGCTTTTCTTTTTCTGTGCAAGTGGTATTCTGAACGTTGCCTAGGGCTGTCTTCACCACAGGCAGGGGCTGGGGAGAGGTTTCGGCATGTGCCAGGGAAGCAAGAGTGCCAGGGAGCAGTCATGACCTACCCCTACTCTCTTACTTTGAGAGAGAAAGGCTGCTCAGCCCTGAGATGGAGGCAAAGCACAGGAAGCTCAGCAGTTACTTCTATCCCTTCACATTTCAGAAGAGATTTTTTCCCCTGAAGGATTTTCAAACCTTTCTGGTTTTTAGGTTTGGGGTTTTTTTTTCATTTTCAAAAATACTTCACCATAGGGCTTTCTGTGCTTTCAGCATCCTGCTGTCCAAGTTTTTTCTTACCTCATGATGATTAAAGACATATATCTATGGTTAGGGCAAGATAGCTGCTGAGCAGTGTTTGCTGTGTACTGGACAGATTTTGCCGTGTAGTGTCCTAGCACCAGATTTTCTTCCCACCTAAGGTGACAGGGCTGGTCAGCACATCCCATTGTTCTT